TACTGCTGCATGGGCAAATAGAGGCAGTGGAAACTGTCTTCGAAGCAAACAGTGACCTGGGGGCCGTTGCCAGAAACATTGTAAAGTTAATGCTAACGTTAATGCTAAGATAGCACTTACGTCTAATGTTAATGTTACGAGAATATCGTTGACAAATATTTATGGCTGTAATATAAATATCTTAAAATATCAAAATTATGAAATAACATAGTAGTCCTTGTGACAGTGTCATGCTGTACAGCATATAATCAAAGAAATCATGGTTAATTTTATTGTGGGACGTTGAAGTGGCAGGTTTGACAGAGGGAGATATATGCTTCTATTATAACTACACGGGTTCATTGCAGGAAAGTTGGTGTGCATTAAGTATGTGTGTCTACTAACAGTGTGTGGCAACAGTGGCAAATAACCAACAACACCTTTGAAGCGATGGTCATGGAGGAGGGAGATGTGTGTGGGAACACCAGCAGGTCTACAGTGGTGAGCAAAGATAGCAAACTGTTGATGATTCTAAGCATACCAACATCTACTACGTCAATTCAATATTATAATACTGCTGCATGGGCAAATAGAGGCAGTGGAAACTGTCTTCGAAGCAAACAGTGACCTGGGGGCCGTTGCCAGAAACATTGTAAAGTTAATGCTAACGTTAATGCTAAGATAGCACTTACGTCTAATGTTAATGTTACGAGAATATCGTTGACAAATATTTATGGCTGTAATATAAATATCTTAAAATATCAAAATAAAATCTCAAACACATAGCTCAATGTGTCGCCAATCATCAACGCTTGCTCTCTGCCACCACCTCTTACCTTCTCCTTTGGTTGCGTTCGTCATTATCGGCGCGTCGTGTGCGGCGGCTTTACCTTCTCCCTCTTGTGTCGCCACTCGGTCCGGTCTCTGCTCTCCTCTCTACACTCTCTCTCTGCCTCTCTCTCTTCTCTCTCTCATCTCCTCCTTCTAACCGTTTTCTCGCCTATTCGCCTCTCCCGTACCTCTCTCTCCTTACCTTCTCTCCACCCCCTTACCCTTTCCTCCATGTTCTCCTCTCCTCTCTCTCATTCCGCGTACCTTCTGCCTCTTTCAGTGTCACCTCTATTTCTCTTCTCTCAGCCCTCTTACCTTCTCCTATTTGTGTTACCTCTCCTTCTCCTCTCTCCATCCCTTTACCTTCTCCTCTTTGTGTCACCCCTCATTTTTCTCTCTCCCATCTTGCCTTTTCATTGCTGTGTTGCCTGTCCTTCTACTCTCTTCCCCTTACCTTCTCCTCCCTGTGTCGCCTGTCATTCTACCCTCGCCCCCTTACCTTCTCCTCTGTTTCCTCTCCTTATCTTCCCTCTCCCCCTTATCTTCTCTCTCCCACCTACCTTCTCCTCCCTGTGTCTGCTCTCCTCTTCTACAAGTCTCTCTGCGTCTCAACGAGCCCCTTGGCATTTGCGCATGGCTCCTAGAAAACGGTTTTCTGTTGCGCGTGAATTACCATCAGTTCCTACTCCTCCTCCATCACCTCCAGGGACTTCCTAACCAGTACCTCCTGGATCAGCTTCACCTCCACGTCAAAGTCAAACAGCTGTCGGCGAGAGAGAGAGGGGGGGAGAGGGAGAGAGAGAGGGGTGAGAGAGAGAGAGAGAGAGAGAGAGAGAGAGATCGAGGGAGAGAGGGAGGGAGAGAGAGAGAGAGAGAGAAAGAGAAAGAGAGAGAGAGAGAGGGGAGAGAAATGAGAGAGAGAGAGAGAGAGAGAGAGAGAGAGAGAGAGAACGAGAGAGAGAGAAAGAGAGAGAGAGGAAGAGGAAGAGAAGGAGAGAGATGGGGTGAGAGAGAGAGAGAGGGGGGAGAGAAAGAGAGAGAGAGAGAGAGAGAGAGAGGGAGAGAGATAGATAGAGAGAGAGAGAGGGAGAGAGAGAGAGAGAGAGAGAGAGAGAGAATAGATAGATAGATAGATAGATAGATAGATAGATAGATTAATAGATAGATAGATAGTAGATAGATGAGATAGAATAGATAGAATTGATAGATGATAGATAGATTGATAGATAGATAGATAGATAGATAGACTAGATAAGATTGATAGATAATAGATAGAAGATTAGATAGAGAGAGAGAGCAGAGAATAAGAGAGAGAGAGAGAGAGAGAGAGAGAGAGAGAGAGAGGGGGGCATCAGAAGAGATCAGAATACTTTTCACAGTGCCATTCGGCACACTCAGTGCAATTCGGTGAATGGCTAGCTAAAGCCGTTGGCATAATCATGCAGTATGTTGATGGTGGCCAATATAGGAGTAGAAGTAGAAAGTAGAAGAACATGTTTTTGTCCACAACCAACACAACCGCGCCCACCCCTGCCAGCCTGCGGAGAATACATAGTCTCCCGCTGACTGGCGGCGTCGCCTGGCAGCGCCGCCAGGAGAATGGCGTTTGAAGTTCGTAATAATACTTCGTTTACAAGAAATACCGCAAGTAGACCATTTCAACGATAGTTAGAGGTAAAACTTTAGTAGCTGATATAACTTAAGACATATTCACTTCGGATAAGAGGCATTAACCACGAATAAGTTGGTTCCGAGCATTTGTAATAGAATGTTCTATAGCCCTGCGGCAACTGTACGCGGGCTATGGCCCTAGTGGTTCAAGGATAGAGAACATGGGTCCCAATAAAACCAATGTCATTTACATCAATATAAATATAATAGGTTAGGGTTATGGTTAGGGTTAGGCACATTCGTTTTGGTTTTATTGGGACCCATGTTCTCTATCCTTGGGCCGTACTAGTGCTAGATCAAGATTCAAGATTCAAGATTCAATATGTTTATTTTGTGCATAAGTCGTGTATATACAGTGTACAGCGGCAAACATAGAAATATTGCAAGTCAAAGTTAAATCTGAAGCTTTGACATAGGAAGCACGAAGTGCGATAAAGAACCCGGCAGGTTATCAACGCTCACCCCTCAAAATAAAAGTAGGCCGGCAATAGAATTATTATTATTGTTAATATAAAAAGATACAGACAGTTGCACTGACAGCTAATAATACAATCATGTTACGAGCTGCGTAAAATAGTCGATGCAGATCATGATGCAGTAGCGACTGGTTCACAGTAACAGTGTCTGAGTGTGTGGTGCAGAGGTATTTACTTTTTATATATTTGAACGAAATTTGCGTCGGAATTATTAGTCTAATAGACAATATACAACAATAGAGTCAAACAATCAAGACTTTGGTAGTAAGTGAAGTTTTGTGTTTATTTACGAATAGATTTTTCAATTTTAGCATCATCTGACATAGTCATGATGCAGCTTGTAGAGATCGCATGATCCGTTCGTCCTTCCGTCCCGTCCTCCGAGCGTCCGTCGAGCGTTCCGTCCTCGTGCCGTGCACAGTTGGGCACAAATCTTAAACCGCTCGACGTAACGGTCACGAACATTCGGCGACGTGTGGGGTAATCGCGAAAACGAGTTGGGATGTCGAAGCTGGGGGTCAAAGTCAAAAGAATCAAAGGTAAGATGGTGTAAACCAGAAGAGAACATTTCACCTCCTTAACTTAAGGTATAGGGAGAAATGCAGAATTGGCGCAAAATCTAAACGGCTCGACCTAGGCTGCGTGAAATAAGAGTCGGTGTTAGCATCAATGGAGAGGAAAAGCCATCACTGTGCGCCGAAATTGAAGTCACAGGTCAAAAGGTTCATGGGCACAGGGCAGATTTAAGCTTTTCTGAGACCATGGTGTGAACGGAGCGATTGGAGAACTTTCTTGTTTCAGCGTGACCTAGCATTTTATGGCTTTATTGAAAGGACCATGAATGGTGCTTTCCACTGACGTGGGCGAAGAGTAAGTGTCTGATAACCTTTTGAACCCTCACAGAGGACGGGATTTAAAACATGGATCGTTAACTGTTACTGGTTTAGAAAGAATTGACCGCTGGTTGCTAGTAGAATCTATACATGCCTTGGATGTATTGAGGCTACAATGTCACAGTGAAATTTCAAATAGCTAATTTGCTTGAAGAAGGTTTAGCCCTTAAATCATATTAATTTCTATGGCATTCTTTTTTTGTACTGTCAGTTTGTTAATATGCCACTGGCAGTGCCACTGCCAGTTGCATGCTGGTGTGAATAGTATGGTGTTAAGTTTTTGCCTGCGTAATTAAGGTAAGGTGCAGCTCTCTATTTTCGCAGCCTGTAGGCTTGTGGTAGGTAATGGACGAGTGGTTACCTATTCTGTCTTGCAATAAGTTACTAACTACGTAGTAGTACGTACGATGGATAGCTTTCCAGCTACCAACGTACGCGCGAAATCTCGTGGCAACTTTTCATAACGATCCCAACGAACATTTCTTCGAGAAGGCCTGATACCATCCATGTTTGGAAATAAGCTATCCGTTTTTCGTACTTGTCCATTTCCAAGTAGATCTGGTCAGGTAGCCTGTCTGCTGGACAAAGCAGCTTTTTAGAGCAATGTTTCATAATTTTCTAACCATGCTGCGCCACGCTGGGCAAACCCGTAGTTAACATAGTATAAACATGGGCTGGCCGGAGTGCCACCCGAAAATTATACATATACCTCATAGTAATAAACATTTATGTGAAGTTATATAAAAACGTTCCGCCTTCGCTCCACGAAACAGTCTGGCTAAGGGTTAGAAGACCATCAGACAATCAGTCTTGATAGACAATCAGACGTCTTGTATAGACAAACAGTCGTACGCTCGTCCGGCGCGCTACACGCCTGCGAAGAAAGAGAGAAATTTGAGAGAGAGGGAAGAGAGGAGGCGAGGGGAAGAGAGTGAGAGAGAGAGAGCGCGAGAGAGAGGAAGAGAGAGAGAGAGAGAGAGAGAGGAGAGAGAGAGAGAGGAAAAGAGAGAGAGAGATAGTGAGAGAGAGAAAAAGAGAGAGAGAGATAGTGAGAGAGAGAGAGAGAGAGAGAGAGAGAGAGAGGAGAGAGAGGAGAGAGAGAGGAGAGCGCGAAAGAGTGAGAGAGAAAAAAGAGAGAGAGAGAGGGAGAGAGAAAGAGAGAGAAAGACAAAGACAAAGAAAGAGAGAGACAACGAGGGAGAGTGAGTGCGAGCGAGAGAGAGAGGGAGAGAGAGAGCGTGAAGGGAAGAGAGAGCAAGAGAGAGAGAGAGAGAGAGAGAGAGAGAGAGTAAGAGAGTGTGATCGAGCGGAGAGAGAGGGAGAGAGTCTGAATCGAGCGAGAGAGAGAGGGAGAGAGAGAAGAGCGCGAAGAAGAGATAGCAAGAGCGAGAGAGCGCCAAGAGAAAGAAATGAGAGACAAAAACGAGGGAGAGCGAACGCGCGATGGAGGTGCCTTGATTCGTTTGCCTGAGTTTAGGCAATGCAAGATAACTGTCCGTCAGGTGAGCGCTGTCGCTCTGCGGCACTTGTTTAAACAGCTCAAGTGCTTACAAATGTGGGCAGGTTTGGTTTTATACTTAAAAATGGTGACACTTTTACTTTAGTATCGATAAGACCATT